TACGTAACGGCCAGCTGTGAATAAAATAAATAAATCCTAATGCTCAAGTTTTTGATGGATTATCATTAATTTCTCTACCGTGATATGCGCCATGGATGATGGGCCGAGCAGCTTTGTCATAAAAACTATTTCCGGTAAATTTCGCATCAAGCCGATTAGAAAAATCACGATGGCCTGCATTATCCTTGTCTAGCGGCATTATTTTACTATTAAATTGAACAGAATCATATTAAGACTTTAATAAGTGTGTTATGAAATCGAAATTAATGTGTCCAAAGAAGACAAATCAAATGAAAATCTCGCAAACATTCAAATATGGCCAGTAACAACTTGAATTAAACTTGAATCAAATGTATTCATTGCCCCATTTTTCATTGAACCGATGAAAAATAATTGTTGGAATAACACTTTCAATGAGCGAAGTAGACAAATTAGTTGGTTCGAAACGTTTGAATTGAGAACTTATCAACAGATCTTCACTTTGTTTTAATGGAATCAGCTTACCTCGATGAAATTGAACTTCACCAGTTGGAATCAAGCGTTGAACTGATTCGTCTGAGCAAATTTACGCCTTTTTATCTCTATTCATAGACACTTTGTATTTTGCATTTTGTGTATGCATCCGTTTCGAATATACTTGTTATTTCATGTTTTTTTGTTGCGAATGTTTTCTGATTCACCAAAAGGGAACCCCCTTGAATGATTGAATGATGAAAAACCCAATTTAATGACACATTAAGAGATAAGAATATCACAATCTATCTTTTTGGAGATAAGAATATTTGTTGATACTTAGGCATTGATAATTTTATTATTGCAACTCTCTAAATATTTTATTTAAATGATATTAGTTTTGTTTTTATTGGCTATACAGTGAATTTGATTTCTCTTTTCGGTAGGTAGATAAGTCTATTCGATTATTGACTAATTTAATTATTGCCCACTTTGTATTTTTCCATTTCGACTAATTGATCATAAAGATGATCGTCTGATGGTCGCAAACCAATCAGAATCCAACCAACTATTGCGCCAATACTTCTCGCCAACGACAACGAACTCCATATGTTCACCACTCTGCTATGCTCCTGCTGATAAAGAAAAAAAACGTTGCAAAGTTTAAAAAAAAAAACATAAATCAACCGATCATATTTGATGTCATTCTTACCATTTCCATTGTAGAGGTCGATGTGTTGTTTACATTGTTTGATAGTATATAAAATCGTTCATCAAATGATTCGGATGATAAACATAATATAATTGTTGCCATGTAAATCATCACAACAATAATCCATCGGAATGATATTGATTCGTTTGCGTTTAGTACAGTGCAGCGACAAATATCCATTCTGTGATATCGAGAAGAAAAAATTGATTTCATGATTGTGATCTTTTATGGTTTATTTTAGATTCTTTTTCTTTGAAAATGTTTCGAATATATTTCGTAGTTTTATGATAAATAGTCAGGGGCTTACCGATCCAATATTGATACTAAACAGAGAATTGCCAAGCAATAGAATGTATTAGTGTATATTTCAGTCGACGATATATACGACTTTAGAGAGCCGCTAAGCAAATCTTTCGGAGTTGTTGTCCCAATAAATAGAATATGAGCTAGTGCCAAGCCCGCCAGCAAACCATGGCACATATTTGCTAGTAGAATCCAAACTCGCTGCACAAAACAGGATAAACTAGCAGCATTATTTGCTACTCCAGGTCTGAAATTAAGAGAATTCCATTGAAAAATGGTATGGAATTTAATTGGAAAAAGTTCCACTTGTTGGAACATTTAAAAAAAAGAAAGACGGAAAACATGATGAAATCGAGAAAAAAGAAGAAATAAGATGAACGGTCAGAAAAAGAATCAGAGGAACAAAAGAAAAAAAAATATCAAAGAACATAAAAAGAGAAAATAAAGCTTCCAAACATCGATCTGAAGAAAAGAATGTTAGCTTAGAACAAAGTGTAGAATAAAAAAAAATATTTACCGGCCACAATCCGGATCGTCATGTGTGGCTGATTTAAGAAAGTGGTTATCTGAAACGGATCGAAATCCGCGCGGTGTTTGAATGAACATTTTGTCGGTGCGTGGTCCCTCTGTTGGCGAAACGACTGGCGTGAATGGATTGTAGATTTCATCGTTAGTTGGGATGATGTCTGCAGTCAGTTCTTGTAAAATATTCGAGAGTCCGCTGGAAGGCATTCGTTCACGTGCAAACGATGCGGCTCGATTACCAATCATGGAAAATGCACTCATGCTTTTGGTTCTAGTCGATTTACCTTCGCCTAATTGGGATTCGAAAAAAAAAAATCAATTTGTACATTCGTTTTTCTTCAATAAAATAATAATAATAATGAAATGTAACGTAAATACAGGAAAAAGAAATCAAACTTTAGTTTACCCGCAGCTCCAATGCTACTGTTACTTGAACGATGTCCACTGTTTCGTTCCCGTTGCGACCGAGTTTTTCGATGGTAACGATCGTCGAGATTTTTATCGATTTCCAGTTCACCTGATAACGATCCATCGTTCACTTCGGAGCATTGTTTCAAGTATCGCATAAGGGTTTCGTTGGCCTGTCTCACTTCCAGTTCACCAGCGGCAATAAGCTTACGCTCACGTCGACGCCGCGATTCGGATTTACTACGCTTTTGCCGTGGACTTTTTTCATTGCTTGAACGGCTACGAATTGAACGCTGTGCCGGACTTGCAGTCGGATCCGATAGAGATGGAAATTTTAGGGCTGGTGATTTTGGTGAATTTTTTCCACCATTTGCCATTGTCGATTTGAGAAATAACATCGATTTCTCATCGGCATTTTCATTTTGAGTGACATTTTCAACCGTGTCTCGTGACGAGTGCGCTTCGCCCAATTCTGTAAGCAAGGATATACACACAAACAATTCAAATCGACATTTTGCTGCAAGCTTTTATATAATATTAATTTAAAAAAATATATATAGGACGAGAGTTGATTGCAAACAATAAAAAAACAAGACAGAAAATAATGGATTTGTCGTACCTGTGTCTGCTAATCCAGTCGACTGTAGATTTTTGCTATTTACATATATTGATGACGCAGGCGATTCAGGTCTTTCGTCATCATTTGATTGTGATTGCACAATCACAATGGATGTTGTTGTTGGTACCGTTGGTGGTGGTGGCGTTGTTGCTGTTTTCGTGGGTGACGTTGTTGGTTCAGCTAAATCTCTACGCGATGAAGCACCTCTTCGATGCTTTGATTTATGATGCACTTTTGCTGGTTTTTCATCCATTTTTTTTCTATTATTTTTTATTTTATTGCAACTGAACGAAATACATTAAATCAACTACGAAATTGGTTCGTGTACTTTGTTTTGCTTGTTTGAAATATTCAACAACGATTTATTTTACGATATACACACTTAAAAAATTATTCTCCACCTTTTTTTTAACACAGCTAACACACTATAGTGTTTATTTTCCTAGTTAGTTTTAGTTAAAATTCGTTTCGAATGTAAAGTATTACTGAAGTCATCGATTAGAGATCTTTTCTGTCGGACTTTTCAAGATTTTTTTTTTGTCGATTATTGAGTGATTATTCAACGATTTTCCACTTATTATTCACATGGAGACGTATCAAAAACACGAACCTCTAAACACTTTTGCTTTCGACTGAATTCGGTTTGGTAGAAAAAATGCACAGCAGATTGATTTAATTTATTTTCCTTTTTTTTGGTATAAAAATGTTATTCACAAATCGAGTGAATGATTTATTCACTCGAAAAATGTTATGCACATTTGCCACCATACAACCGAGACCAAATTTCTCTCTTGTTCAATTTTGACTGTTGTACGTACTCATAGCCGCAACCTATACCATGGAAATGTTAGAGTAACCAACAAACCTACATTGTTGACTCACATACACACAGATGCACAGTAGCAACCCCTCCGTACCGCGTTTCACCGATAGCTTGTAGTTTTATGTGTTGGCTGCTGGTGGATGTGTGCTTCATTTCATTCCCGTTCCGTTCATTTTTTCCATATCATGTGCTATGTTTCGTTGCCATTTGCGTCTCGGATTGGGTGTTTGCGTCATAATGTGTGGGCCTTTTTATTGTATGGATGTATATGACGTCCGGCGCAGCAGAGCGACTCAATGAACGAAAATGCTTTGAACCCACTAAAACGATCAATAAAAATCACATGATTTGCTATTTATATTGGTCTGGTGCATATTTATAGACTAAATAGATAATACATAGATCACACATAGGGACATATCAACTTAAACGTCAGCCTGTGTGTATATCATTACTAATTCTACATCCCTTTTATTTTCTCATCTCTTGTTCTTATTGACATCAATATACCACATAATACTCTCTCATTGAGACATGTTTTTTTTTTCAATAGCCGGTTGAATCCGTTACGAGATAACAACAACTGACTGATGTGGGAGAGTTTGAGACGACAATCAATATTAATGACCTTCATTAAATGAAACGTTATATTATAAAAAATTATTTACTAATCTATTATCAAATGCATGCGAATCATGATCAAATTATTCATTAAAAAGTAGACAAATTCAGTTATACTCAACATATTCCAGATGTCAAGTCTTTGAAATTAAGCATGCCGAAGTGTGAATGAAATATAACAAGGAGTTTATACGTTAAATTCTGTATAAGAAGAATCAAACAATATTTACACAATTCATCTAACTTGAAACATTTGAACGTATTTTGCTAGACTAGAATTTATCATACCTTCCATTTTTCATATCAGATCAAACCCTTGATAGATTGGTAAGTCAAATCGCTCCATAGAGACAAATCTTCTAGAAGAATTAAGTAGACAATGTTCCTGAACAGGTCAAATCAAAGTTATGGCTCGGTATTTTATGCGTATGAAAGATTGCAATTGCGTTGTGTGAATATGTTCTTTTAGTTTCTTTTTAAATGTATGACTTGAGTTCAGCTGCAGTAGGCCGTTGGGCATGGCATTTATTTCAATAGCAATCATTCTGTTTTAATTTGAAAAGCGAGCATGGAGGATGTATCGAATTTGATAATTTGGTTAATATTCATTAAATTGTATTTGACCCTGATCTGTTCGGTGCTTGAATTCAGCGCATAATAACCGGCCCGGAAAATTGATCAAATGATTATGTTTTTCGGATCAAAATCAACCTATCAAGCGTCGTGGTTCGTTGAATTTAGTGTGTAACAAGCAGTTCACGACGTTTCAATTCTCACTTCTTCTACATTCGAACGAATTAAGAAGTGGCGAGAATGAAATTGAGCACGTGCATTTGAATTATACGGAGATCAGCTCAAAGCATAGATGAGCGCGTGTAGGCATCCATGAAAGCCTGATGAGGTCAGTCGGAGCAAAAACCATGAGTGAAACAAGCAACATGTTACATGCTCTACTTTATCGAAATATAAATCGTTGTAAAAACGTACACTACTTTCAACAAGGGGGAAATCATTTGCCCCTCGACTTTCAATCCCACCAATAGATATGACCAATAGATATGACCGAGTGTCTGTTTGGTATTTTCAAAAGTTCAAAAGTTCATTTTTCCTAGTGTGTATGTTGTTCGATTGATTTTCTGGGAGACATTAACTCGATTTATTATTATTTTTAATTATCGAATTTATTATCGAGTTGTGTTATCGTTTTTCATACTTTTGTTGAGTTTATTTCTTATATATGTATGGAGGTTTATTTCTTATCTTTTTTCTGGAGCAATGCTCCCTTCATCAGTGAGTTTTCAAAACAAACTCGTCAAAATATTACCTATACTCTGGATAATGCAATGCTTTGCGTTTCCATCAAGTGATTGAATCTGATTGGCTTCTATAATTTTCATATTAAATACAAAGACACTTTAATTGAGCATCTGTTTAAATTCCCACAATGCTCAAAGATACGATACACTTGGAAAACTCACCTTAATGGCACTTCATAGCGCACGAATACTGTTAGTCATATTTGGAATTCGATATTTGAACGAGTTCGTCGATAAAAAAAAAAACCATTGGTCGTGCCTTATACATGGTTCGATAAATCCAATATTTATTTATTTTTTAATCCTTAAATAATATTTTTTAACCAGCAAGTGTGTCTTTGACATCTCAATTTCGTTTGGATAATTTGGAGATTCCAAATTTTGGAACAAATACACAGTAAAAAAAGAGAAGAAACCATCAAAATGTACGGACAAAAACAGATACTGCAATGTTTGGCCGTTGCATTAATATTGGCAGTGCTTAACTTTCATCGAACGGCCATTAAACGGAACCGTGAAATTATAAAACCAAGAATAATACGTAAAGTAGGCACGGGCAGCTCGAAAATCAAACAAATGGATGAGGAAAATATTTGTGTATCAAACGATGGTAATTTCACTGGCTATTGCATACGATACCCATTTGGTCGAAATGTGTGTGCTAATCATGACTCCGATTTTCTATGCCGACACAATTGTTTTGACAAATTTGATACATGGCTACGGAAACAATGCCAGGCAAACTGTTGCATTAGAAGGAGCACAGCAATCACTTTAAATACAATTAATTTTAAAACGATGACTACGACGGTGGCGGCGGCTATCACCGCCGCAACAAAAACAAATGGCTCGCAGAGAACACGTAATGTTGAGAATGCGCTGATGAAGTACGTGGGCGAGAATGGCGCAAGTCTGCATATTAAACAATGTGAACGAGCGAAAACAATTATCGAACCAATCAATGAAAAATTGATGGGTACGAAACATATCAATCCAGTGGGAGAGTATGAATGTAAAATTCGATCGGACAACGACGACGAATTTATTTGTAAAAACACCACGTCAGATACAACAGTTGATTTTGTTAAACTGGAGACCATCAACAAAACGAAAATCGCCGCCACAACCATGGAATATCACGATTTTCTGTTCAATTTGGGATTACCGGAAACTAAAACGGGATCAACGCAATCTTTTGATCGTTTGAGTTATTTCATTTTTGTTTTTCATTGACATATTCGAATTGGCAGTTTTTACAGCTTTCTTCATATGGAGCAGAGAAAATGCGGATTCGTTTCACCGAAAAGGGTTTTTTCAGTGCAGTGGGATATATACAATAGACTAGGCCGAGATGTTGGCATCTGTTTTGTGGAAGAATTTATGTTTCCAAAAATAATTGCTGACCAAAAAAATCCATCGAATATTTCCACAGCACTGAATGGACTTTTCGGCGAATCAGCGGTTGGTTACCAACCTTTCTCCAATTTAGAATGCCTGCAAACTGCAATACGACGATAATACCGATGAATTTTTCTAATATTTCACTTACCATTTTGTCCAGTAGGTACGATGTCATCTACATTTCTGGCCTTTATCTCACTTCTCGTGGCCATTTTCACAATTCGAATTATGTGGAAACTCTTCATGACCGATCATGTAAGTTAACGTATTTCAATAAATGTAATTGTTTCACGTTTTGTTTGCTATAATTGCTTCGTTCGAGTGATGTGTGAAGTAAATGCAAGAAAAAATGTGGTCGAAATGTCTAGCCCAAGCGTGTTTTCTACTCAAATGAGAAATTGTATGGTGCGATTTTTCATTGGGATTAGTCTCACTTTAAGTTCATATGGGTAGGTGACTTTTCTCCCCCGATTTTGTCCGTCCGTCCGTCCGTCCAAATCAAACGGACATTTTGCAAACGGACAAACGGACGGACGGACCAAACTCAATCCTAAACGGACGGACAAACGGACGGACGGACCAAACTCAATTTTAAACGGACATGTCACCATAACAAACGGACGGACAAAATTTGTTCTTCAAATTTTTCTTCAGCTATCATAACTTCCAACCGCCTTGGCCGATTGCGTTCATATTTGGCCAGATGTTGTAAGTCTATGATCCCTCGGACCTGATAACTTTTTGACCGAATCGGACCAATCTGGATTTTTGAAATTAAATTTTTGAAACAATTTTTGAATAATGTTCTTTGGGCCTAATATTGAAATTTTAAATATATTTTTCAATTTGAATTTCGTAAATTATCATTTCGAAATTCGAACCCATTTTCGAGAATTCATAGATCGATCTAGAATTCATTTTCGGGAAAGTACAGATAAATCCCGTGTATCATCCTCCACTTGTAAATATTGTTTTTACATTGAAGGGCGTTGCACGCAACTTAACATTCATAATACAAAGTTAATACGTGTGGAGACACCTTAAGAAAAATGACACAGATTGTTAGTGCTACGGTTAATCTGTACTTTTGTTTTTGATATTCGAAATTTTTTCCAAAAATTCAATTTTTTGACTTGGAACTCCATTCTTGCGAAAATATTCATTTCGAAATTGCAACTCAGTTTCGAAAATAATCATTTGAAATTATGCAGGACATATTAGCGGTAACAGTAAGCGGAAAAGGATTAGATTTAGTGTGTAGTTATTAGTCTAGATAGTGATAATGCTGTAGTTACGAATCCACTAAAAAAAATACATGTTTGTTTGTTAACAAATGTAAAGAGTTGAAGTGAATTTCATTTACGCACCTTGACTGTAGTATTTTTCAACTCAAATCAAAAGAGAACATTCATAAAATATTCGAAAAAAAATGTGTTTTTCTGCATAAAATATTGCGAGTTGCTGGAACGTGTCCATTTTTCGACAACTTTTCTGAAAATTGTGGTGCATGGCAGTCGGAAAATCGAAGAAATACGAAAATCTGCTGGATGTCTAGTGTCTACACTCTAGCGTTTTTTTTTTTAAATATTCCCAGCCTGGAATGACCCAACCTGGATTTTCGAAAGAACACCGAAAGTCGCTGCTGAAGGAATTGAAGTACGCATTTATTTATATTGTAAGGGAGAACCACTCATTGCGTCCTTCGAAGAAAAACAATTTTCGAACAATATTTTTTGAGTCTAATATTGAAATTCTAAGTTATTTCGAAATTCGAATTTATTCGAATTTATTTAATTTCGAAAATTTTGTTTTCGATTTTCGAAATTATTTTTGACTTAGATCTCATTTTCGAACAATTCTATTTTCGAAACTCGTCATTTCGAAATCGCAACTCATTTTCGAAAATTTATAGATCGATTTAGAATTCGTTTTCCGAAAAGTTCATTTTCGAAAAACGAAATTATTTTCGAAATTCGAAATTATTTTCGAAAATTCATTTCTTTGACTTGGAACTCATTTTCGAACAATTTTATTTTTGTTTGAGCGATACAAAGTTCGACAGCAAACAATTTGGCTTTGTCTAATGTTTTTGAAAGGTTTTAAAAGTAACTAAGAGTACACTTCATTACGTAGCAAAATCAACTCAGTTTTCTCTGTGTAGTTTTTCACTTCGGGGATTTTTATACATTTGATCAGACTTCAAGTCTTTTCTTTTGAACTTAATTTTTGTTTTGTCGAATTTTAACATTTTATAAAGATTCTCAAATAATTTTCGAACCCTGTCTGAAGGCAGTTTGAACGTTAAGTGAATCTTAGCCATCTAGTGCAGACAACCGCCTTTAGACGGTAACAATTGAACCGCCTGTATATTTATATTGTTTTTTATTTTGCATATTGCTTCAAACGGCATTTTTTATTCTTCAGATTGCCCTCTAAAATCTACATCAAGCGGTTGTTGTTTTATAAACAAGAATTTGCGCAAAAACAAAAATTTGAGAAAATTATTAATACAGTCCGACGCGTGTTTTTTTTTCTTTTTTGGCTTGGCACTTTGGCCGGACTGGTAACACGCGATAGTTTAGGTTGTTCTGAGTTCAGAATGGCCCATATTTTTGCATTCTGTGGTCATTGGGGAAAGTATGGCCTTCGGCGTTTCTTCGTTCCAGAAGGAACGAACTTCATGCGCACATTTATCATGTTTTTCTAATTTTTTCGCGTCTATGACAACTTAGAAATGATTTATCTTGCGATCTTAGAGACAAAAAGTCCAACCAGAACAAGCTTTTGTCTTCAAGACTTCGAAAAATTGGACCAAATTAAAAAAAATTGCGATTTGTATGGAAATCTTACATCTGGCTATTAAAACTCATTTATATAATACCTAGCATGTACTTTATGTACTTTATACTAGCTCAGAAATGTGCAGCAGTCGATTTTAGATGGACACTAGGGACATCAAAATCATTTTTAGCTTCAATATTTTGAAAATAATTTGATGAAAAACCGAAAAAAAATGAGACAAACGGGAGTTCTGATTCTTCAACGTAATTGACCATTTTTTTCTCTAAAAAATGGAAGCAAACATTAATTTTTATGAACTAGTTCTCTTATCTAAAAATGCAAGCCGCAAAATATTCTAGTTATTACTAGTCCATGAAATCATCACAACGGGAAGATAAATGGTATTTGTTGGCAATAATAAACAATTTCCATACATTTTTGTTTTTTTTTTTCGGTTTTTCATCAATTTTGTCAAAATGGAGTCACACATGAAGTTCGTTCCTTCTGGAACGAAGAAACTTCGAAGGCCATACTTTTCCCCAATGACCACAGAATGCAAAACTATAGGCCATTCTGAACTCAGAACAACCAAAACTATCGCGTGTTACCAGTCCGGTCAAAGAGCTAAGCCAAAAAAGAAAAAAAACACGCGTCGGACTGTATTAATAATTTTCCCAAATTTTTGTTGTTGCGCTACCGCTTGATGTAGATTTTAGAGGGCAATCTGAAGAATAAAAAATGCCGTTTGAAGCAATATGCAAAATAAAAAACAATATAAATATACAGGCGTTCAATTGTTACCGTCTAAAGGCGGTTGTCTGCAATAGATGGCTAAGATTCACTTAACGTTCAAACTGCCTTTAGACAGGGTTTGAAAATTATTTGAGAATCTTTATAAAATGTTAAAATTCGACAAAACAAAAATTAAGTTCAAAAGAAAAGACTTGAAGTCTGATCAAATGTATAAAAATCCCCGAAGTGAAAAACTACACAGAGAAAACTGAGTTGATTTTGCTACGTAAGAATCAAATCAGTTTTCTCCAGAGGGGCGAAACCGAACTGTCATCATCAATTACAACGCGGCTGTCAGAATAAAGTACAAATTAAATACACGCCAGACAGTCTTAAGTGCACCTTCGTAGAACGACTCGTTGAATTTGAACTATTGAAAAAGACAACGTATTTTCGTGAACGTATATTATTCATGGAGTGAATAAAAATGATAAAATCAAGTGGAAAATGAATATTTGTGTAAAATTATGTTGTTTCTTTATTTCCTATTTAAATGCAATGAATGATTTGGATGACACATCCACATTATCAAATTTAGAAAAATGTTTCCAACATGAACATATTTATCTAAGTTTTCTTTAGATTTGCTGATGTTCAAATGAATTTTGAAATCAATTAATTCAATTTTCTCATTTTTTACGTTCGCTTCCTACAAAGTGAGCTTGAAAATGTGTTTCAGGAGCCATGGGAATAAAGTGGCTCCTTAAACACACAATGGCTTTGTTCCACCGAGTGCACAAATTTGTTCTACACATTGAACATGTCAGTAGATACTTAACCTCACTTTGTCAATCAAAAACAAGAAAAATGTTAGCAAAGAATTTCTGAGCAAAAAAAAAGAAAGTTCATATTCTTTTTCGGTATTTTTTCAAACGTTTCTAAAATGTTATTAAAAATGGGTTTTCATATTAATACACTAGGTATATTTTTATAAATAATTGAAATATTTTTTAACCAGAATGCTTGAAATATGTACTCATGTACTTATGCATACTTTTAGCGCGTTCCGCAACGAATGACAACCGACTACGCGGTCCCCGTTGTAGTTTGACAGTTCGGTTTCATGGCTCTGGTTTTCTCTGTGTACTCTTAGTTACTTTTAAAACCTTTCAAAAACATTAGACAAAACCAAATTGTTTGCTGTCGAACTTTGTATCGCTCAAACAAAAATAAAATTGTTCGAAAATGAGTTCCAAGTCAAAGAAATGAATTTTCGAAAATAATTTCGAATTTCGAAAATAATTTCGTTTTTCGAAAATGAACTTTTCGGAAAACGAATTCTAAATCGATCTATAAATTTTCGAAAATGAGTTGCGATTTCGAAATGACGAGTTTCGAAAATAGAATTGTTCGAAAATGAGATCTAAGTCAAAAATAATTTCGAAAATCGAAAACAAAATTTTCGAAATTAAATAAATTCGAATAAATTCGAATTTCGAAATAACTTAGATTTTCAATATTAGACTCAAAAAATATTGTTCGAAAATTATTTTTTTTCGAAGGACGCAATGAGTGATTCTCCCTTACAATATAAATAAATGCGTACTTCAATTCCTTCAGCAGCGACTTTCGGTGTTCTTTCGAAAATCCAGGTTGGGTCATTCCAGGTTAGGAATATTTAAAAAAAAACGCTAGAGTGTATAAGGCTAACAAAAATATTTATTTAAATATAAATTATTTATTTAAATATTTTAGGCGATTTCGTTTTAAATAAATATTATATTTATTTTTAAATAATTCAGGATTTTTAGAATTTTTCTTCATTGTTTTGAGGGTTTTGCGATTTTAATGTGAAAATTTTCATATATTTTCCGGAAGAACAAACAATTTTGACTCCAAATTTTTGGTCCATAAATTTTTTTTTTTTATTTTCAATTTTTTTCCTATTGAAAAATTTTCGTAAATATTTTGGCGATTTTTAGCCCTTTTGTAAATATTTCGGACATTTTTCATAAATATTTACGTAAATATTTCCATGGTTTTATCGTAAATATTAAATAAATATTTTGAAGGTTTTTCGTAAATATTTTTGTTAGCTCTAAGAGTGTAGACACTAGACATCCAGCAGATTTTCGTATTTCTTCGATTTTCCGACTGCCATGCACCACAATTTTCAGAAAAGTTGTCGAAAAATGGACACGTTCCAGCAACTCGCAATATTTTATGCAGAAAAACACATTTTTTTTCGAATATTTTATGAATGTTCTCTTTTGATTTGAGTTGAAAAATACTACAGTCAAGGTGCGTAAATGAAATTCACTTCAACTCTTTACATTTGTTAACAAACAAACATGTATTTTTTTTAGTGGATTCGTAACTACAGCATTATCACTATCTGGACTAATAACTACACACTAAATCTAATCCTTTTCCGCTTACTGTTACCGCTAATATGTCCTGCATAATTTCAAATGATTATTTTCGAAACTGAGTTGCAATTTCGAAATGAATATTTTCGCAAGAATGGAGTTCCAAGTCAAAAAATTGAATTTTTGGAAAAAATTTCGAATATCAAAAACAAAAGTACTGTGTCATTTTTCTTAAGGTGTCTCCACACGTATTAACTTTGTATTATGAATGTTAAGTTGCGTGCAACGCCCTTCAATGTAAAAACAATATTTACAAGTGGAGGATGATACACGGGATTTATCTGTACTTTCCCGAAAATGAATTCTAGATCGATCTATGAATTCTCGAAAATGGGTTCGAATTTCGAAATGATAATTTACGAAATTCAAATTGAAAAATATATTTAAAATTTCAATATTGGGCCCAAAGAACATTATTCAAAAATTGTTTCAAAAATGTAATTTCAAAAATCCAGATTGGTCTGATTCGGTCAAAAAGTTATCAGGTCCGAGGGATCATAGACTTACAACATCTGGCCAAATATGAACGCAATCGGCCAAGGCGGTTGGAAGTTATGATAGCTGAAGAAAAATTTGAAGAACAAATTTCCGTCCGTCCGTCCGTCCGTTTGTTATGGTGACATGTCCGTTTAAAATTGAGTTTGGCCCGTCCGTCCGTTTGTCCGTCCGTTTAGGATTGAGTTTGGTCCGTCCGTCCGTTTGTCCGTTTGCAAAATGTCCGTTTGATTTGGACGGACGGACGGACGGACGGACAAAATCGGGGGAGAAAAGTCACCTACCCGTTCATATGAATTATTCAAAGAACTCCCATGGGAAATGAGAGTGTGACAATTTTGCACCGTGCTATTTATGATGAAAATCTGAAAAGTTTAGAATTGAAAAGTTGAACGTTTTGGGAGAGAGATTGTCAGAATGTATTGTAAATCATAACCGAACTAACCATTGCTATTGGTATCAATATTTACAATTGAGAAAGTTTCAATGTTATTATTTTCATAGACCGAAGCTTTTCTGCGGGTAATAGAGATGCGTCGTACGTTACACGATCGATTGGAGCAAATCCATGCCGACTTGAATCAAGAACGAGAGAACGAGGCAAACAACAATATTACTGACAATAGCATTTCTGACTCGGAACATCCTGAAGATGAAGCTTTTACCCAGGACAATTCAATCAATATTGCAGGTAATTCAGTCTGTCGTTTTTGAGTGTTGGTGTCATCGACGTTATCCCTCTTTTTTACCGATGAAAATCCTTCAATAATCGTTCCATTCACAAATTGAAAACAGATAACAAGGAAACTGATAGCGGCGACGCAGAGACCAAAAGCACACAACAAACGTCGGAGCAATCAATGTAGACAGCAATCAGGCGATGTAAAAAAATCAAGTTGAACATTTTCAACTTCAAATGCATATTAATTTATAACTATTTGAAGAAAAAAAATGTGTAAAATATTTTGCAATAAAATCAAAACACGAGAGAAAAAAATACCATAAATTCAAATTAATGTATTTTATTTAGTCCACTGAACTATTTCATAATTTCAGTAGATTCTTAATGATTTTTTCTTCTTTGTTTTGTTTTTGTTTTATTCCATGTTTTGTTTGTTTGTCTGGCATCTTCATATGTGTTCAATAGTGTCAAAAATAATTATTTCATTCTTGTACACTTTCTTTTGCAAAAAATCTGTATCGTATGTGAGTGTGTATGTGTGTCTGTATGCCAAATTTGAGTTCTAGCGCACGACAAAAGAAAAAAAAATATAGTCTTCTCAAACTCAAAGCTCTCTCTCTCTCCCAATTGCTTCAAAATTGAACTTTAAGCGTTGACACCCTCATTTTCATATCTCTTTCTTTTCTTCTTCTCTCTCCACTAAATGTTAAGTCATTCTCTCAACACTATCTAATTAATGCCTACTATTTGCTTCATTTTATTGTGTCTGACTGAGCGAAATATGCAATTTCTTTAATGATAATAATAACTGTTTGAAATGAAGAAACATTCAAAATGCTCTCTGTACATGGTATTTAAATTAGTCTGTCGATTTGAACATAATGAAATAATTCATTTGTTGTTCGTCGTGCGGATTGAGATTTTTATCCTTTCGGATCCCAATATTCGTTTCGCTTTCTGTTTATTTACTTTGTTTGTTCCTTGATTTATCTAAACTTATCCAAAAAGCTATTTAGGATCATTCAATGTGTGTGTATATGTGTTTTGTGTGTAAATTAATTTGCTTCATTTTGATTTGTTTTTATTTTTCTTCGTATTCACTGTAGTAGTTTAAGCATTATTAAGCATACAGATCTGCATGTCTCGATCGAGTCTCAATTAGGCGGTGCTTCAGGGCACAACAACAAATTCAAGTAAAGATAGAAAGAAGTCTCATTCGAATTGATTCAAAGAAGTGATGTGTGGGGATTTCCCATAGAAGAGCAGATCATCGAAAAAAAAGAATCAGAAGAAGAATGAGAGGATAAGAAAGCACAAAATTCTGTAGAGAAAAGAACAGATTTGATTTCGTCGATGTTGGAAGTTTCAATTTGAAACGCGCAGAAATTGAACAGTAAAAAGCTTTTTTGTGTGTGAATAAAACGTATTTACCTCGAGCAGCTGCTGTTACAAACACAGCTGAATCGCACAGCCACAAATACGTGTGCCCTGAACGTCAGCTTTTTATTTGAAAAAAAATTAAAAATCAAACCAAACAAATCGATTGTCAAGTGGAAAAAGAGCGCAAATAAGACTAACTATTTAACAATAATATAGCAAAATTATACCGAAATAAATGTTCTGAGTCTGTTTCCCATTTGGGGATCATCATCATCGTCGTCATTTTGTTTGATGATTCTTTCTTTATCTTCCTTGGAACACACATCTTTTCTTGATTCTTTTGTTTTTTCTCTTCACAATAATGCTTTTGCTTGGTAATAAATCTTCAATTAACAAGCTATTTTAATAATTTTTTTTTTTTTGGTAATTTTTCTGTATTTTTTTTTTCTTGGAGAAGCAAATTATTTTTTTTTTATTCGTTCATTACGTATTGTGAACGGTGAGTGGACGTTTTTCTAACATGTACTTTTGTTTTTTTTTTTTTTGCTTATCAAAACATCGTCTTTTCCATCATCTTTTTCAATCTACTACAATATAATTTTTTTTAGTAAATTTTTATGTGTTTTTTTACCAAAAGAAAAAAAAATCTCGCCTTTGTTTTCATTCATTGTGCTAATTGTATGGGGGGATATTCAATATTTGCATGCAAGTTTATTTCTAAATGCGGCGTGATACACCATCGCCAACAAATTTAATACACATTTGTTTGCACCACAAAAAATTTGTTTGGTTTTCCTTTGTAAAAATGAACTAATCGTGTTCTCAATTTCTCGAGATTGGGTGTCGTCTGTCTGTTCCTTATTTAACCACTCATAATTGGTTGGTTGGCAACGGAAAAATAAATCTGAATGGACATTTTGTGAAATGCTTGTTTAGGCGTTGTTGAAATGTTCGCTGTTCACTAGCTATTAGATGGATGTTCAAATCGTGTTGGCCTTCCAACGCGTAGACTTGACTTGCTTATATTTGTTTTTAAATACTGAATGTTTATTTTTCATATCCCATATACATATAATTACAATATTCGAATTTGTTCTTTTCATCGTATTCTTTGTTTTTGACATTACTAAATTGATTTGGTAATTTAACATTTAGAGTATCAATTTTTGTTGTTGTTTTGTTTCATTAAACTCGTTGCGACAGCGAAATGATGGGCCAATCGAAAAATTATCTATGAATTTTATCTCGTGTCGGAATAAAAAATAATCAATTCAAAACGAGAGAGGAAAAAATGCGTATATTGCAATAAAACAGATGGATAAGAAGAAACTAAAAAGAATTTCCATTCATCAAACATTTCCTCTCGAACTATTTTTATTCTAAATTCACTAATAAAAAGACTTCATTGATTACATTTTCAGTTATTTTTTCTGCTTTTTTTTTATCAAAGTATCAATCTTAGTTAGTTGCATTCAGTTTAACTTGTTTCTTTTCATTTAACCGTTCATTAATAGCTATATCAATTTTTTTTTTAAGATTCAGAATAATACTTGAATCATTTTATAATTAAATTTAATTTCATTAGCGTTAGTTTTGTTTTTATTTTGTTATTCTTTTGTTAAATTATTCATTAATTTTGCTGATTCTCAATTGGTTCAGCGTATGTTCAAGTGTTCGAATTTAGTTTCGTTTCGTTTGTTTGTTTTGCTTTATTCTCTGACTCTCGCAAAATAATAAAGACACACAGCTAGGTCTTGTTCTTTGTTCACAATCAAATTTATTTACACAGTTTTTCGTATGAGTTTTTTTTTTTACTTCATTTTTCTTTTCTTTTGTAGGTCTTCCAAGCGATATCTCTGTGGTTAGGCTTTTTTCTCTCATATTTTAGTTATTGCACATGTATTTGTTGAAACACAAACTTAAAAAAGTTAGTTAGTCGACTGAAACTAATCGCGACCGATCGCCATCGGTCCATGTTTTCTGATCTTTTTTGTTGTCGTCGTTCCAATTGGCGTCGAGAAAACAAAACAGAAAAAAAGAATAAATCCAAACGAAATGCATCTTAATCGAAAATTATGCATATCTAAATGATGATACATAGGAAACTTTCATATAAATGGAACTTTCAACGATTTACTTATTTAATTGAAATATATTAGATAAATGTAAAACGAGCAGCTCGACTCGTTATCAGCATAAACATTAAAAATATGTTTTAGTTGAACCCTGCCGCGAGATAGAAAAGATTATTTGCTGTTTGTTTTTTTTTCTTGTCTTTTTCCGTTTGGTTTGTTTGATGTTTGTGATAGATTTCTTGTTTTTCTTTTATTGATTTGCTTGTTGTTGTCGTTGTTGTAGTTGTTGTTGTTGTTGTCATATTAAATAACCGTTTGATGTGTTTCTCATTTGTTTGTTTCAGTAGAATCATTCTCATCGTACTGAATGGCAATTGGTATGATATTTGGAACCTGACATTTGTATCTTTGTTATTTTGAAACTAAATCAGAGAAATAATTCTCATGCCACCGCACTCCCTGATATCGTTGTTGATTGTTTTTCGCCATTCTTGCGATTCTTTGAACGATCCGGATCAGTTGATTCAGAACTGTAAATAGGAATTGGTTGACGAGTGTTAATACCTAAGTATTGTGCTATTCACCGCAATTTTACAGTATAACGATTATAAGGGATTTTTAGTGTTTTTTTTTTATACCTTGATCGAACCGTTTTTGGGCTGGCAGGTTCTCCTAATACTTGGTTATTGTTGTTTGTCGATGCTGAAGAACGTCGCGATACTGGTGTTTTATTGCACTCGAATACGGCATCATTTTCACAGTCATTTTCAATCTGTACACATACACACCCAGAAGAAGGAAAGGAATTATGAATTAACAATAGGTGGAATGGAAAATCTTTAAGTAAATCAAAACCAAAATACAATGTATTATTGTTGATATGTCTCTTCAGTTCAACACATTATCATTCTACAGCTTCTTCATCTTTATTTCACAATGTATCGTACCTGACGCTTATAACATGAAAGACGTTCACTTGAATCCGATCCGCTGAACGACGAAGACTCTGACACTGCATTCGTTACACGGGGTGGACTGCCTGGGCCAGAGAAACGCTTTGAGCAAACCTGTGATTGAATGTGTTCACATATTCGACGGAATCTTCGAATGTTACCTGGAAATCAACACATTTTCGATGCATTAATATTTTTTGATTCGAAATGTAGAGCATTTTGCATGTGTGAAACAAATGAAAGTGTTATTGGATTCGATCGAAGCTTTGGAATTCAATTTACCGGATAAAAGTGTAAAAGTTATCGCAAAAAGCGTATCAGAAACTTCTTCTTGTTTACAAATTGCACTTAAATCAACCTGGAACGAAGCAAAAGCGTTGACGTCATTCAATTGAAATTAAATTGAATTTATATTTAATTTGATTAAAATTTGGCCCCGAATTCAAATGAAACTTGAATAAATGGATAGCTACCTGAAACCGAACATGACGTTGAAACATGGCCGGTCCCGTTCCATTCCGTTTGTACTCGACTCTAAATGACATAGGTGATATTACGCTATGCGATAGTTCGGCCATCTGAAAAACAAGAATTTTATTAATGTTGATCTGTTCTGGGAGTTATGTGCTGCACCAAATGATGGTCCCGATATCTCAAGTCATTCAGATGGGCTACGTCTTTAATTTCAACACTTTCATTACCGATAGGAATGCATGAATCAAATGAGCTTTGACCGTTGCCAGTGGCTTTCCTTTAACAAGCACCGTGAAAGTTTCATCTTTTTCGGTTGTCATCAAATTTCCAAACCATGATCGTTTTGTTAGCTCTGGTGATGAGTCCGGCGTCAAATATACTTCATCAGATGACACTGCAAATGTACACAAAAATACAATTAATATTTAATTATGACATTTATTCGAGCAATTGCAATTGTATTTGGTATTTAGGCCAAATTGATTACCTTGTAATTTTCTTCGATGGAATCGTGGACTGCCTAAGAAGCTGTTTTTGATGTTGGTCAATCGTGTTTTCCACAGTTGACTACTTGCATTGCTACAAGTTGAGGCAGTCATTGCGGGCGATGGTGTATTACCAGCATTTGCAGCACTGAGATGCGTTGAATTTGGTGTGGGCCCTGAAAATTTTTGAATTTTTTTTTTTCAATTTATCTTATTCTCATTTCTTTGCTATTGTGATTAACATCTATTCTTGAATAGAATTTAAAAAAGAACCACTTACAATTGCTATTTTCTGATTCTGGGAACAAACTAATAGCTATTGTTGGTCCTGAGTTAGCTCTATGATGGGCACCCGACTGTTGCTGGTCATAGTTACTTGAGTCGTGTGGTTGATTGGATGGCTGCGCCTGAGTTTGGGATTGCGGTTGCTGTGACGAACGAAAAAAACAGAATTTCGTTAACAAAAGATGCATGCAACAATGGTATTCATATGAAACGAGTTGTTGTTTGAGATGGCAATCAATATTCAATATGTAATCCAGATGCTAGGCATACCTGTTGCGTTGATGATGCATGTTGCTGTTGCTGTTGTTGTTGCTGTTGCTGTTGCTGTTGCTGTTCATCGGGTGGCGGTTGTGATTTTGGCTGGATTATTCGACCAGTTATTGAGGCTGAATGAGTTGAATGGCGCGTTGAAGTAGCTGGCGATGACGGCCGCGATAGCACTGTATGGAAACAAAAGACACGGTGCATATTCAAGTTCAAATCCACATTACTCACTATAATCACTTCGGCAAAGTTCATATTAAACCATGTGGGATGTTTTCATATTGATCCCAAATGCAAGAACTTACCTTGCTGTGGATTCCTAGTTGGGCTATGATATGATGCAGACCTAGCGGATGGTGTTGGAGATCTTCGATTGTGATTGCGTGTGTTGCTATAAGAACGGAAACTATGTACAGGAAAACACAATGAATTAGTATAGAAATCAAAAGAAATTTCAGCTACGAAAATCAAAAGAAAGTTTAATGAAACTTACTTGAATGCTTGTCGTCGTGTTGTTATTGGCGATCCTTCGCTGATTTGACCGAAGTTATATGAGTTCTGACCATTGATTCGACATGTGTCTAGTCGTTTTTTTGGCGGATCGCTCACTTCCGTGTTATTTCTAGGTCTTGCTGCTTCGTCATCATCTTCAAGAGCTGGTCTTCGACGTTTGCGCTCGAGAAGTAAGAAATAAATAACTTTTTCCGTATTGTGGCTGCGAAAGGAACATTTAAATATGGTATGCATTAGTACAATATTACAATAAAAAATATTCATAAGATCAAAAAGAATCTAATTATGGAGCGTCGATAACAGTTCATGGAAAACAAAGGATTCAACACTCACTTAGGGCTCATAAGCTCTTGGATGAGTTTATCCTTTTCCTTGAAACATCCGAGCGAGCAAATGGCATTCAAAACATCCGGATCAACCGATGAGGCTGACGGTAGAACATGTGTTTGTACCACTTCCATCATCGGTAATTCTAGTTCAAGTTCACCCTTGCCGCCAGCTGTAACCCATGGATGCCGATTAATTTCACCGAGAGTTAGTCGTTTGTCCGGATTCACCTCAATCATGCCTCGCAGCAAACTTTGACAATCCGGCGGTACAAAGTGTGGTATATGAAATACGCCTCGTTTCACTTTTTCCAACAATTGCCGAAGGTTGTCATCATCAAACGGCAGAGCACCGACTAACAAAGCGTACAAAATAACACCACACGACCACACATCCGCACGTCGGCCATCATACTTTTCACCCTATTAATGAATTGTTCCAGTCATTAGGTACAAGTTGTGAACGACAAAATACCATTCTTGGAAATGATGAAAATTTTGAAATTTAATTTGCATAAATAATGATGATTTTTACCCGAATCACTTCTGGACATGCATAATGCGGCGAACCGCAAGATGTTTCAAGCATTGATCCAGCCGGTTGTAGTGATGCCATTCCAAAGTCGGCGATTTTTATATTGTTCTTTTCATCAAGTAGCAAATTTTCGGGTTTAAGGTCGCGATGGCTGCAAATTTGAAAAGCAAAGAAAACGGTTGAGAAATCAACATTTGATTTATTATTAACAATATAAAATGCTGTGCCACCCACCATATAGAATGAGAGTGGCAAAAGTCCAGCGCCGAAATGATTTGACGGAAAAACTTTCTAGCTTCTTTTGGTGTCAGTCTACCCTTTTTAACTAAATAGTCAAATAGTTCACCGCCAGAGACTAGCTCCAGCACTAAATACAAATACTTTTTGTTTTCATATACATCCGACAGGCCCAACACATGCGGGTGATCAATTAATTTCATAATGGCTATCTCACGTTCCACCTGCAAGGAAGGGAAACACATTTATCATCGCATCATTTGTGCACGATGTGATCTCTGAATGTGCGTCGAATGGCATTTAGCCGATTCTTTTACCTTCATTAACACCGATTCGCTGAGTTTTTCTCTATTTATTATTTTAATCGCTACTTTTTTCCCTAGAACACAGTGAACACCCAGCTTGACCAGACCTGAAATGACATTTAGCGAGTTTGAAGACGTTATTAATTATTTCAATCAAAATTTAAGAAAATATTCAATAAATCATGCGATCGCACTGCATCGGTCTGCTCGACTTACCAGTCTGTCCTTTGCCGAGTGTCTTTTCCAGTCTATAAGGCCCCACATATTGATGGCTTTCAACAGGCGCCGTATTTTCCTTTTGCATAATTACAATTCTTGATGCTCAAATATTTACCGCGTTGATTTCGAATCAATTTCTTAACTTAGATTTGTTGAGTCGAAAGTGTGACAGATGGTGTATTTTTCTTTTTACACCAAATACCTTTCCCTGTCACTGATATCAATTTTGTGTGTGTGTGTGTGTATGTGTGTGTGTGTGTGAGTGATTCGTGTTGTTGTCGGGGCAGGCGGACGAATTCTTCAAAATATTTATTGTTTGTCACTGTCAACTCCAATAAATAATGTAATAATATCTAACGTTCTGTGATTCAACTTAACTTGTGCACACGCGAAAATTCATTGAAGTTAACACATCTCTCACACTATGTTCCCGGTTTCTTCTTCTCCATCTAAAACAACCGTCAACACGAAAAATGAAAAGTAATCAAATTATAGCGTCTAAATGAATTGCATTGCCATTTTTCGGTTGTCAGTTCCGTTTTAGAAAATCAATTTCAGGAACCATTTCAACATCAACAACAGAAGAAAAAAATGAAACGAGATCCAAATGGAGACCAAGAGAGCCAGTGAGAGACAAAGACAGAGTCGGAGATCGGACAGAGATAGATAGTGATTGTAAAGTGTGCTCAAACTGTAAAAATTAACTGATGGTTCCTTCGTGTCTCACAGCATAATTCCAATCTTCTGTCAGTAGGTTCTGTCATCACTTTTGGGAGGTATGGAGATAACACTCTCTCGTTCAGCTGTTCACTCGTTCGGCATGAAACTTGTCTCCGCACGCGTACTATACACTAGAAAAAAATGGCAAAAGAAAATGACAGGGAGTGAGTGAATGAGTGAGAGAAAGAGAGAAAAACAAACAAACAATAAATTGCATATAATGATATGGCTATGGTTTATGCATGTAGGTATGCTTGTGTGCCAGACCTATCGCATTGTGTGGATGCAATGTTTTCAAGGTTCCCTTGCGCGTTTCTCTCTCTCTCTCTCTCTCTCTCTCTCTCTCTCTCTCTCTCTCTCTCTCTCTCTCTCTCTCTTTCTACATATAACGACGAAAGTGTACAGTATTTGTTTTTTTTTTCGTGTGTTCACCCACCGACCGAAGGGCGGCATTTTTCAATTAATTTCTATTTTTCTATGGATTCCGTTGCGTTTGAATTACTAAATCAGATAGATCACATGACCCAGTTAAGCCAAATAAAAACAAACGTCAAAATTAAAGCAGTCGATCCTTATATTCAAGGCGCGTTCAACCCTCAATCACGTTAAAGTTATGCACAAATAATTGAAACGCGATTGAAATCGCTTAATGTCATGCGACTTCATCGAGCAAGTTTTCTTTTTAGCTTTTAAACTTTTCAACTCCCAAAAATGAGAACAAAAATGAATTTGAAGAGAAAATGCAAAGCAATGCTAAAAAAACACAACATCATCATTATCATCATCGTCGTCGTCGTCGTCGTCAGCTTCTTAATTATAAAAAGGGTAGGAATCCATTGAATCGGTTTATGTTGTGGTCAACAACGCATACACAAACATTATTACAATTTCGCATATAAACCACCAAGTGATACGGTGAGTACGGGAATTGACAGTGCGACTAGATCAAATGATAGCCCCGATAAAATGTGCATAAAGTGTGATGACACACATAAAGCGAGAGGGGCTGAATTGCATAAAATAATGGTGTAGATTCTCCCTCAAAATGTCCAATAGTAATTTCCGATTGGCAAACAAATCACATTTTCGTCGATAATACACACATACAAAATTTTCTGGCTGTGCGCTCAATACTCACGCCATCTTTCACAAACACGAGAATAAAAAAAAGAGAATAAATCGATAAACAACAAAGGCACACGGCGAATTGAAATACATAGACATTCGGCATAAAGGGAAGCTCCAATCCAAGAATTGTTGCACAAACGGAACACATTCAATGCAATGTTTTATCTTCGATGCAGGCCAACACTGAAAATAAATTGAATTCTAGACGTTTTCGGCTTACCGTTCCTCAATTCATGTTTTGCACGGTGGGCGAACAGCGTAGGATAATGGAAATAAGAAAGTGTCCAAATGATTAAGCGTAAAAATCGATGTGCAGTATTTTGATTGTAAATTAAGTTGGCGGTTGAAATACCGCAGCCGTAAAATCGACCGCTTGAATTGAAATTTGATACGAAAAAGTAAGATGTTCTCCGGAAGTGTTGAGCACACTTTTGTCTCCAAACAAAAAAAAAACTTAGAAGCACTTTCATAGTTATTTATTGTGTTTTGTATGTGTGTGTGAGAGAGAGAGAGAGAGAGAGAGAATCGAAATGAAACGATACAAAACTTTATTAACGACTTTTTTCTTTCTTCATTTCATCTGGTGATATAATAAGTAAGGGTAGACTCAATGTCGAGCCTTATATTGTATTCTTGCACGTTTCAATTGCTTTAGTGCGTATTGTATATACAGCATTGTATTGTTGGACGGCGATTATGTGTCGATATGCGACATGAGCATGCGATTTTATTCTCTGTTTTTATGTTTGCGGTGTAACGGGTAATTTTTCATTTTTTTATCAAAGTTAGCACTGAATGAGCAATTACATTTCGGCCAAATGGGTGGAATGGGGAGAACATTTGAACGATTCACAAGGAAATGTTGATTATTTTGTTGTTGTTGTTGTTGTTGTTATTGTTGTCGATTTTTGTCGATTGTTGACGGTGAGAAACGGTGGCTACAACTATTAATGGTGTAAGTGTATGCTTTTTTGTTTCTTTATGCTTGCCTTCACGTGATTTTTTCTTTTTTAGTTCAATTCATGCGCTGGTATAGTTTAAGCATTCAACTACATCATGATTATGCATGTACATGTATGAACATATGTAAGGCCATCCGTCAATTCCCTTGCACACATTCCACAAAACTAAAAATGAACTTAAGTCACGTTTGTGTTTGTCTTATATTATTATAAATGACCTTTGATTGATAGAATTGTGTTTTTTCTCCATCGTTCCAAACAACAATTTCGATTTCCATGTCCGTGTTTACTTGAATTTTCACTTCACCACGCGGGCCATGCATATGTACATTTCACGATAGCATGATAATCGAATGCATATGTTTTTCATTTTCAATAATAGAATAAGAAGAAGGTGAAAACAATAGAAGTATAGTGTGCCCTTTAATTTATATGTAGTCTATTTACGGCGTAAAAAGTAATTGGTACCAAAAAAAGCAGAGACAGATACAGAGAAAAATGCTCGGTTCCACTGTGCCTATGTCTCCCTATCTCTCTCTCTCTCTCTCTGTGTGTGTGTGTGTGTATGCTGTTTTGATCGAATGAATCGGAAAGTGGATGGATGGTTGATGACCACTTTCAACCGAGGTAGCACACAATTCTATCGATGCCATTGCTTTGGATCACGCTTTAACTAGTGAAGACGATAATATTTCTTCGTCGTTTTTTTTTTTCTCGATTAAACATGAAAATTAGTTCATGGTAAAAAAAAAACGGTACAACAACACACGAATAGCAATTTAAGCCCATTTCAACTGGTTTTCGATTGTAGTGTGTAAATTTGTTGTTGCTGTTGATATGTGGATTACATTCAGGATCACGGTGGCAAAACAATCTCAATTATTTTCGCACGCAAATATTATTTCGATTTGTATTCGCATATTGTACACACATTGAATGGAATAATCAAATGGATGTCGAATTCTTTTGGCAAATGCCAAAAATACACGTCAAAAATCGAACACAAATTCTCATTTTTCTCTCTTTTAAGAACTTTAAAGAATTACATGACGATATCAAGACATTAGTCATTGTATAAGCTGAATAAAAAATTTCGACCTCTTGATTCAAACACACTTTTCACTTCACATATTTATGCTTGATTGACAGGGTTCCCCTGTTTATGGACAGACATTTTTGAACTCACTATTTTTATTGTTGAACACAGACGAGAGAAAAAAAAAAAAACAACCAAAAAATGCATTTAATGTGTTCAAATGATTTGGTTGCAAATGTTTTCGTTGTGCGTCTGTTGCTCGATGTTACTGCTCGGTATTTCTCGATGATTCGCCACTGTTCGCACACACGGAGAGAGTGAGTGGTCGATCATGTGTTCTCGCCGCCTTCAATCAAACAATTGATTTATAGCAATGGTGTCGTAGTACATCGATTTTGCATTGCATTTACAACAAACATTTTTCGAACATTTATGAATGACTTTCTGCGCTTTGTGAATGCCTTTGGTACTCCTAGTTGAAGCCCACTAAGTAGCCAATCGAAGAAGACATTTGACAAATTCTTCGTTCATTCGAGTAGAGAAAGAAAGAAGGAGTATACATAATTCGTGCTGATTTCAATCGGGCATTTCTCTCGCATAGATGGAAATAGCAACGCAGAAATGTTGTAGATTACGAGTGTCGTATGAATTGTTGTGCAGAAGAAAAAGGTAACCACACAAAATATATCACACATTTGCACATATGCATGAAAAAAAATAATAACGACAAAATGAATTGTCGAACCATGTACACCACTTGGAACCTATTACATCGTAAATTAACCGAGAGATAGAGAGCAAAAAGAAAAGGAAGAGCATAAAACAATGATAATCGTTCGTTCGTTTGTTTCACAAACACACAAAACTACACACTTTTCGTATGTTAAACTCAATGTCTTGCGAAGAATCCAATTCGAATTTGGTACAATACACCAGAACGAAATGAAAAAGAAAATATAGTCACCATTCGATTTTTCTTACTTGAATCTTTTTCTCAGTTGGATTCAAAGCCAGAAATTTGTCTTTTTTTTTGGCAATTGTCTAATTGAAACGTTGGTAGTATTATTTAGTGGTTTGTCGTTTCACTTCTGCTTTTATTTTTTTTTTTTTTAAACTACAGCGTATTGATATGTAATAAACAAAATTGTACACCGACAAAATACATCTGAACTGTGTATATGTCGATTTTGGACTTTCTTTTTTTTATTGGTGTAATGCATTGCTATGCGCAATGTCGATGGGGTGGTGAACGTCACTTTTTGTTTAAGGTTGCTTCTGCGCAACGCATCCCTTATGCCAACACATACGATAACAAACGGTAAAAAAAGTGTGTTCACACGTACAGACGATACACACATGCACACACATACGGACGTACCATTCATGGTGGCAGCCGAATAGAATGTATACATTAGATGTGTACGATGAGAGAGAGAGAGAGAAAGAGAGAGAGAGAGAGAGAGAGATTCAAAACGAAGGGATTTTAAAATGACTACGACGACAACGGTTAGGAAATTCACCCTTCAGCAAAGAACACTGTGCAAATAACTCAATTCAAAGTTTCAAACAAATTAAAAGTATTGAAATTTTTAATTATATAATATCTTGTTTAATTGTATTGGGCTTAAAATGGAATTTCGAACAAGAAGAGAAAAAAAAGTAAAAATAGCAAAATTGGAACAAACCAATAAATCAAAACAGCACCACTTATGTACGAATGCGAATAAAAAACGGATTATTATAAGCTTGATTTTTAGTTCGTTTTATTTGTCAATGAGCGAAAATAAGAATTTATCTATATATCAATTTATATATATATATTTGTTTTGTTTCAAACAAAAATTGCACGTGATTGGGATAAAAACGAGTTATTGTTTCCGTTTTTTTTTTTGGTTATTCTTTGAACGAGGGCGCGTGTGTATTTGTTTTGAAATAATTTCTTATTTACCTGGAAATGCGGCGCGATATCATGAATAAAAGTAAATATATCAAATGATGAATTTATGATGAGGTGAATGTATGGTTCTATTCTTGCTTCAAACTTGGTATTAAGAAACCAAGAAAATGATGTGTTGTTTTACAACACTTTCCCATGTATTGATATCATGCGGCAATTTCAATGATATTTACTATTTCATAATGATGTGAATTATTCATTTATGATTTGGTTCTTTGGCAAATTTAAGCAATGTCACGTGTTTTGTTCTTTCATACAAATAAAAAGAATAAAGCATTTCAAAGTTCTTTTTTTCGCGAGACGAATTTTCTCTATTCTATATTCATATATTATATATATAGGATATTTTAAGGCATTTTTTTGAATCAGCTTTTATTCGCGAATTTAATAAGTCTTATTTTGATTTTAAATGACATTCCAAATGAAAATGGTTATTTCCGCGTGTGATTGATACACTATAGAGACTATCCACCATTAACAAACGAGATATGGTATTCTCGTCTGAACGTGTTCATTTTTCAACGCTATCTTGAAATGTTAAAAACTTACACAATAGTTTTTTCTTGATATTGTTGTTGCTTTGCATCTTCTTTGGCATGGTTTCAAAGTTTGAAGACATTTAAATACATGAATAAAATATGATCGGCTCAAGAGATTTGCATGTTGATTTAGCGCAATTTCAAGTTATTTGATTGTTTTCTGTGCAAATTCATTGCTGAAGTCGAGAAAGAGAGAGAGTGAGAGAGAGAATATTTTTTCGAAAGAAGAAAGTGTGTAGTTCAGCAGAAGTCTAGATGAGAGAAGCAGAGAGTGTGTCCTTTCAGGCTGATTTCTTGTCAATCTTTCGAAGTAATGCATCATGAATGCATCATGATTGAGCTTTCTCCCTTGTTGAACTCAGTCAACAGAACAATTTTAGCTAGGAACGTTTTTTTTTTATTCCTATGTAGTGGTTTTCGATGTGCCAACCGTTTCTGGTGTTAATTTGAGTAAAAGAGCGGATAAAACACATGCGCCCGCTTCTTTGGTCGTCCAAACGGGTTGGCCATTTGATGCAACGGGTTCGTTGTCATTCGTGTCGGCCACACAAATCGCTTGAGTGCGAACACGAACTTCGAACGCTGTCTCAATTCGATACGATGATGTTCCAGTGCGATGCACAAATGTCGATGGGGTGTGTTGCTGTGTATTCGGCGTTGAAAATAGCAAAAGCAACGTTCCAGGGCCCGAGTCATCTTTTTGATTACCATTCACATACTCACATTGTTCTGCGTTTAACCAAAAAAAAATAAATGGTTCAATCAAAATTGGTTTCAAACACACAAAAAAAATGTTTCATTTGAAAACTAATTTGATGAAAGAATCAAATGCATTTGAAGAAATTTAAACTCGATTACCGATTGGAAGTGGTTGACCGTGATCTAAAATCGCTCGTATTTTATCCACACGACTCATGTAGTATGCGGTTGTCCAATCGCTGCCACTACAATCGACCGAATCGGATGAAGCAGACGAACTGGCATTCGTGACCATATGGCTCAGTTTAAATCGTACCCATCCTAAAAATCGATAAATACATCGTCAATATGAAATATTTCATGACCTATTACGGTATGAATTGAATGAACTTTCTGCAATTACCTTCTATTAAGTTTCGACCGCTGGATAGACATGCTGCACAATAACATACAGCCATGTCATAGGAGAAAAATACATCGGGCAAAACAAGCGTTCGCTTGAATGCCATCACCAATTTTAAATATTCACAGTCCTTATTCTCGAGACTCGGGATCGATTCATATTCAGAGGTAATGCTTCTCGGTTGCATTTCGGCTCCACGTTCAGCGTCACTCACCGTATTATTACTCTCTCTACTCTGTCTATTCGGATCGTTGATCATCACATTTGACGAGAACATTTGACTTATATTATAGTCATGTTGCAGACGCTCATTTTCCATTGAATTTGGATTCACCAACAAACTACCGACCAGCGAATTGTGATTGTCTGCACTGCAACTTTGAATCGATTCATTGTCATTCGATATGGCCACTTGGTTTGGATCTTTGTACGATGTTGACTGTGCGGAATGTGGCTGTCGATTCGAATTCGATGGACACCAATTGGCATCATGATCTAGCGACGGTGAAATTGAATTGGATTTTTCATTTGAAATTCTTTTTAACTCGGTTTGACTAATGAAATTCATTTATTTCTTAAAGCTATCAGAAGCTTACCATAAAAATTGGAATTTTCTATGTAGTTTGAATCGCTAGCAGAGGCTGATGCTGATGCTGATGCTGATGCCGATGCCGTAGCAATATTATCATCATATATTGGAGGAGCATTTTCACTGGCCAAATGAATGTCGTCGCTTACAATGTTTGCATTTGATGTGCCCGCAAAACGATTGGTGCTCTGACTTCGTTGAATATTCAAATTGGTTGAATGTTGCAATTGTAATGAGTCACGCAAAAAGCTGTAGCCCGTGAAGAAGAGAGGAAAACGGTTTTATTTAAACTCATTCGGCAAATCAATTCTATTCTTCTATTTTAACCCCAATTACGATCACTTACCAGGAACTGGATTCGCCTTGTTCGTTTCTAGTATCGACCGTTTTATTTTTGATCGATAAATTGTGCAAAAGATTCTCAGACACACTATCAGCAACGGAACGACTCCTGAACATTTAAAACAAATGAACATTCAATAACCAATTTAGTATATATTGTTAGCCTCGTTTAGTATGTTTTTTTTTCTCGAAATTTCTTTATCAAAACCACTTACATTGTACCATTGGCATTAGATCGATTTGTGCCACCTTCACCAGCACCACTATCAAGCGACGGTGGCTGCAAACCATCCGTTTCTTTTTCATGTACTTCGAGATCGGCTTTTTCGAGCTGCGGCATACTATTTCGATCGGTTTCGTTATTTACCATCGATGTGAATACTTCCTCATTGATTGGACTGCCATTTCGAATGTCCGGGCAAATCAATGAGATGCGTTCACATTTACCGTACAAATCAAAAATTGGATACACATGTTGTGGAAGACCAGATGCAATCTCTTCGACAAATTTCTCCGTTGCCGGTTGCATTGAACTGTATGTGGTTGTGGTGGTGCTGCTTGGTTTTCTTTCGGCCAAATTATTGACAATGGTCAGGGTTAAAGATCCCGAATGTGTCAGGGTTAATGTGATGATTGTGTCTTTTTGAATTCGTAGGAGCGCTTCGCCCACTTTTGATTGTATTTTACTGCCATTAAAATTGATGTAATCATGTGTTATGATCCAACACGGTCTACGCAGTAAAATAGCCGACGATGGTAAATGCATGCTATTCAAATAACTGCTCACCGCACCCAAGATAATTGTACCTTTCCATTTGGAATTGATTTCTTCAATTTTAATCTGAAAAAAAATGAAAGAAATGTTCAAAAAGAACGAACGTTTCAACTGCAATTTCTTTTCGTTTTAATTGACTCTCAAATTGATTGATTGCCGATTTTGTGCACATTTCTAATTGAATGATTGTTTTTTAAACTTACATTTATGCTATGGCCTTTGCATAATGGCTTTGCAATGCACACAATCGCTTGATTATATGATTGGATACGTTGTGCAACACGACGATCATCAAGTAGTTGAATATTTCGACCGTGAATGTCGGAGAATTCGAAGAATGGTGTCTCTGAATCAATGGACTCGAGCATTGAATCTTGATTTTTCAATGGATCTAAACCTAAGTCCAACGAATCCTGCAGCCGTAGACTGCATGGTCGAAGCGGTGACATTGGAACTTGCATCGAGATTATTTGAATTGCCATCACGGGGCCCTGTAGCTCGACAACGGCATACACATCGGGAGCGACATTTGAAAATGAAATGTTCATATCCTCCGAATTCAACAGCACTCGCAACGTTCGGGCCGATGTCAACTCGAGTGTGATTCGATCGCCGATTCGTAACCACTCCAACGATGCCATTGATCGTTTCAATAGCATCGTATTGTATCGAATTTCGTTGCCACTCACATACCACACATTCGATGGGATGCGTTTCATTGAAACCGGAAGATTTTTGCGAACGTGTTCATCGGATAAATTGAGATCGGTGACGCCAATTTTCAAGCAACCGGCCAGCATTGAATTGTACTCGGTGATTTTGATTTCGAACGGTTCACCAACCACCAGAAAATGCTCAGAAAAAACGAGACATCGTGTCAAAGCCGGTTGATTACTTGTGCAGCGACTGGCCAGCGTCCAATTTTGAAACAAACTCACGCTTCCCGATATACAAGACCATCTGCAATGAAATCGAATGAATTAAATTCTATTTTTCTCCTGTAAAATGGAAATCTGTTTGAAGTTCAAACTAGAAACTATGCTCATAAATGCTGACCTGTGCTTAACTTCGGTGAGCGGCGCAATGACTGAAGCCGCCTGAACACTTTGTGAATTCTCGCTGATTGCATACGGTGCCCGAGTACTAGAATGCATGGAACCGACGATGCTAACTTGAGCACACTGCCCATACAAATCAATAACCGCGTACATATTCTGAATGTGGCAATCGTATGCATGTTCTTGATCGATTCCGTTCACGAAAAAATGAATGGCATCACCGTTGCGCATTATACCGACTTTTGAACCGGAGGTCAAATTATCGAGATTAAAAGGCATATCGTTTCGAACAGTTCGTCCGTTATGGATTAGTGTTTGTCCCGATACCATGATTGTGTCTTGCTCTAAATCAGTGGCACTGCTGAACGATATCTCATCGGGTCGAATGCCGGTCACTCCGATCTCTACACTTCCATTCCAGTGATCGATCATTGTTTCAAGAATAACTTCGAATAATTCACGTTGTCGCAGTGGTCGATTACTGAACACAATCGAACCGTTGAATTCGGCCAGAGCCTTTGGCCGACTAGCGGTTAAACCACCATTTGAAATTCGTGCATTCGGTCCATGGCACACATGGAACCGTAGCTTTTGTTCATTGCACATGCCACCGTTTAGTGTGGTATTTGAAAATGTAGAGTTGCCTGCTTCAGGACTTATAATCGTTTCTACGATATCATCAACTATACTTGCTTGTGCGGCTTGGCCATACAAATCTGCAATGGGTGGGATAGGTGTTTGAATAATTGAGAATAACTGCTCTTTGGTGCGAGTTTTGTGTGATTCAAAGTAAACATACCGACAACTCCATACACTTTTTCGGGTACATTGGTTGCAGCAGGCCCTTGATCCACTCCATTCACCTGTTTGAAAACGATTGAGCTCGATCGATTAGTAATTAGTCAGAAGAATGAAGAGCAAGAAATTATCTAAATATTTTACACTAACCCAAAAATGAAGAGTTCCGTCATCTTTTCGCATGACACCCACTCTATCGCCAGCTTGCAGACGATCCAAACTATGGCCATATTGTTCAACAACCGTGATTCCATTGTGCATCACACCATTTCCTGTCATCATCCATGTGCCGGTCCGAACGTTCGTCATTGTGAACGGAAAATCCAGCTCCGTCGGATTGTGTGTTGTTATGCCAATTTCAATGGATCCCGCCCATTTGGAAACCACACGTTCGAGACGAACTTGAAACAATTCATTCGATCGCAGCGGTCTTCTTGTTAGCACAACACCATTGTTGAAATCATCCGATGCACTGTAGGACGGAGAAAGAGAAATGGTTTGTTGTTTAGTGACTTTTGGAAGCTTATCGTATTGCAAGAGTGAGAGAAAACGATGTAATGATTAATTACCTTGGTCTCAACGCCGTACGACCGCTTTGTGTAACCGTAGCATGCGATCCACAAACCGGGTGAAATGTTAAACGCTCACTATTCTGAACTGAATCGGCTTCTGGACTATATATTGGCAGATCTTCAACGCATGTCTGCATCGACATAATATTATTACGTCGTGTGACTAAATTCTGCTGTTCACGTTCATCTCTATCGACTATAGTCACTTTAATTGTCATACCGTACAAATCAATAACACCCCACAATGTTTGCGCCACTTGTTTCGCAGCCACACCTTGATCCTGTCCGTTGATATAATAGTGCAAGTTTCCATTAGATTTTCTCATCATTCCAACGCGGTCACCTTCTCTCAGCTCATCCAAATTGAATTCACCGTATTCACGTCGTGTTCCCTTTCCATTCGTTAGGATACCACAGCCTGACATCATTATCGTTCCGCTGCGCATATTCGTCATTGTTGCTGGAAAATGTAATGCGTTCGGATTATGAGTGGTCACACCGACCTCAATTGAACCCGACCACTTATCAACCAATCGATCGATGCGAATTTCGAAGAGCTCATTGTCTCGCAACGGGCGATGAGTCATCACAACGCCATTATTGAACTCATCCAGTGGTCGTCTTCGCTCGGCCGTTCGATTATTTGCACTTAAATGAACCAGTGACCCACATCGAATGTGGAAATGCAGTCGATCATTGTCGAGAAGTGTGGCACTGGTACGACCTGAAAAAAGTTTAACATGATTTTATTTCCGAATTTACGACATGCCGCATGATTTTGGTTCACTACAGAATTTACTGTATCTTACCGCTCAACATAAAGTCATCGGTTGTTCGCCGTTCGCCGATCAAACTACTCAATGTGCTGGTGCTCGTTGTGGAAATTGTCTCATGAAAATTTGGTATGAAATTCTCGATGTCATAGTTCGCTGATGCCATTGCTACTGCCACAGCTGCGGCAGCAGCTGTTGAACAACTTGTGCTCTGTTCATCGGAACTAATCGACACCTGTGTACATTTCCCATATAAACTAACGACAGCCCAAACTGGTTTCGCAATTCCAACGGCTGCAATTCCTTTTGATTCACCATTCACCGCAAATACCAATTCACCTTGAGCCGTTCGCATTATACCGACACGATCGCCTTCATTCAGCACATCCAAACTGCCGCCGTAGCATTCCAAAATACATTGGCCATCCTTTAAAATATCTGCACCAGACCATATCTAAGTTGCAAGCCAAGGAGATAACATCGATAGTACACATTTGGTGGAAAAGCCATATCATACACACAAAAAAAAAACCAATAAACAAAATTTACCCAAGTTCCGTTGGATAGTTTCTGTGCGCATGATGGAAAATCAGTCGTTTCAGGATTCACACAGGTTACACCTATTTCCATGGTACCGTTCCATGCTTGTGTCTAAATCAAATCATATTTCATTATTATGTCAATCTCAACGACAGAAGAAAACAAGACCGGAGAGCTTTGCTTCGCTCCGCTCTGCGTTCTTGAGTTTTTAGTTACTTAATCAATTTTGTTGTTTCACAACAAACTATTTTTTGGCGCACTACATGAAATGTATTTCATCAAAGTAACTTTGAAGTAATATATTTATTTGCAAAATGAATTACAAGATCTTGGTTTTATTTCTTTTTTGAAATATACTGCCTTTGTAGAAAGTCTTGAGTGGAATAAATGAACAACCTAATAGTTTTATTGATAGTAATTGAATGTGATTTTATTTTATTTTGTTTGTTGTTAAATTAAATAAAAAATATGAGCATAAAATTCAAATTCACCATAATTCATTTCATCACTCAAAAAGTATTAAGAAAAAAAAAGAAGCAGATTAGCAGCTCTACATTTCATGTAGTGCTAAAAAAACAATCTGTCTCAAGTCAAAATATGCATATTTCACTTTTGTTCGCAATCGCACAAACCTTTTCATCAATTTGCACTTGAAACCACACACCATCCACCATTGGTTCGGCACTCAAGACCAGACCATGATTGAAATCGTTAATGTTTCGTCGTGCTGTGCGATTTGAATTCGATAAATGTATCCGACTGCCGCATCGTCGATGGAAAGACATAATTTCTAAGACTGTTTTTTCTCAATTTAATTCGGATATTTGTTTCTCGCACAAATCTACCTCGGAGCGTTCACAATCGCACATTTACGATTCCAAAAAAAGATATTGTCCAGAGGTTTTTCAGTCGTTTCAGAACCCCAACAGATGAGCACCAATTTCTCGGTTTTTTCATCCGAGGTGCCAATATTTTTCTCTTTACTTTGACAAAAGAACAATCAAAATACACCAGCGGAATAACAAAAAAAGACACATATAGTAAAGGTAGAAAACAAATGCTCCGCGAATACTTTGACAGTTCATCAAGTTGCAACGAATGCCGTTAGAGGTCATTCACATTGGGGTTAAAATGGCGGTACTTTTGAATTGACAACAGCAGTTGATTTCTTTTTTATTCAAACAATTCATTTAATTTCATTTCATTTACAGAGGAAACAATTTGTTGTATGTTAGTTGAAATATATGAGGTGTAAGTGATGTGGAAAACAGTTCAGAAAATACTTTTGATTTTTATGAGTGTGTGTGTGTGTTTGTTTGTGAGTGTGTGTGAGTGAATGAGTGAGTGAGAGAGAAAATTGCATGTGCCATCTTTAGCGAAACTGGTAAAACATAATAAATATTTCGCAAATGCCATCAATTGCTCTCTATTGGTACTCACTTTACAAGTACATTTGTTTGTTTGTTTGTTTGTTTGTTTGTTGGTAGTTTTTTACGTATAAATTTGTCTACATGTTGTATATAGTTTGCTTGTAATTCATAAATTTCTTTTCTTTCATTTTGTATCTCATTCATTCAAACCGAGATTATAGAGCTTGTTTTAAAATGGAACAATGCATGTCAAAAATTCATAACGTCGACTACATTTCGATTGTATCGCTGATCGAAACGAATTTACTATCATTCAATCTATGGATTCTTGTTTTTATTTTCGTCCAAATAAGTTTTTTGTTGTTTTATCCAAATAAAATATCCTTTTTTCAACGTCTTCTCTAAACCTGCAGTGCCATCAATTGCTCAACTTAAATTCAAATTGGGTTGGTGCCTTCGTATTCATCGTGGATTGTTCTCTCTGTGTGTATGTCGTTTAATCGGTGCTACTTTGACGATTCGTCGTGTTTCGTTTGTTTTGCAATTTTTGGATGATCGAGCTCATTTCGCCGGGAGACAGCATACCGTAATCATGCAAGTTGGTCAAATGTAGCAAAAAATTGCGATACAAATTCTTTGCAAAAATGTCATCGCCACGGTCCGTCACGAACATTTCACAGGCGAACACCATTTGTGAAACTCCCACAAAGTTATGCTTCATCACATGATGGTTCCACATTGTCAGCATCTCTTTTTCACCTTAATAGAATAAATTAATATTAAATAATAAATAAATAATAAATAAAAAAATTCCTCTGCAAGGGGTCATCCATTTTCCTCTCAACTGAGTTTGGTTCGCATTGAATTTACCTTCGTTGACATCCGAAAAGTCTTCAAGCAACTTTTTTGTATGCTGTCGCAACCAACCGGGATCATGTTCACCTGAAAATACTCGTTCATTGTTTACAATCGATTTCATTTGTATTGAATGACCTCCAAATTGCTGGCCATTTACCTTCTGAATCTTCGTCAAAATCCATTCGGTGCGTGTATGCCATGTTATTGTTTGTTCGAAAGTAACCACGATCATGGCCATCAAAACTCAGTTGTCCCCTGGGCAAAATGAATTTATTCTCCTCCGCATCTGACGAATCAATGTCTGGAACGTGATAATCGACGAAACAAAAAAAAAAACAATAATGTAACAAGTTTGACTCAAATTCAATTTGAACAAGATAGAACAAAAAAAAAACGTTTCCGAACCTGATCCAAAAGCCTCGTCTAATTCTTCGTATGTCAAACATGTGCGATGCTTTTTTGCCCGTTGCCGCGACACTAAAACTTTGGTATAAGGCTTACGTCTGCTCGGTTTCTGCTCATTGCTGTCAGACTGATGTGATTTTTCCATCAGCGGTGACAATGCGCAATTGTACCGCTCATTGATCGACACATCCACCTGGATGCCGTCTTCCTTTGGTGTGTACGAAAATTTGAAGCGATCATGACACAAACGTAAGTGCATCAATAGCGGATGCAAACTGTTACAATTTAAATAGCACCATGGACAGAGAAATTCGTCCCAGGCCTCAGTTTTCTGGCTCAAATCATCATTATAAATGAAACGGTAAATGAGATGTGAATTTATGTTGAGCAGCTCAACAAATGGTGATCGATTCGATAATACGCTTGGCAGTGTTGTATTTGGCAGTTTCTTTGTTATCGTTTTCGAGGATGACGACGACGACGACGACGACGACGACGACGTTGTCGTCGCTGTCGTTAATGCCGTAATCTCTGCATCGTCTGAGCTCATATCACTTAAAATGCCCGATGAAGTGCTGAGCGATGTCGTTGAACCGGTCCGAATGCCACACCAATCGGTTGTGTCGGTGGTCAGTGTGCCATTTTCATTGTGAATGGGTGACAATGATTTTGACTTAGTGCCATCGTCACTGTTCCACTGCAACATGAATTTTAACGAACGATTCTGAAAATAACGCTTATCGCCAGTCAATACTTTTGGTATGTCCGTTGCCCATGCCAATTGATCCACCTTACGCACCGGTGTCGATTCGGTGCTAAGATCCAATTTAAGCTCATATTCACCTTCCAACAAGTCGCAACGACCCATTTTATTGAACACCGGCAAATGAGCGTCATGGCAGAGTTTTCTTCTCTTCTTCGATCGCTGCGATCTCTCTGCAAACAAAAACAGTATTTGAACGAAACGAAAGTGTACTTTTTCATCTCTTCAAAATTTTATTTTGATCCCTGTAAATATCATCGCTTTTCATACCATTTTTCTGGGCATTTTGATGCTCAACATACGAGACTTCTATGAGTAATTCACAAGATTGATCAGTTTTACTGGCATAGCGCATAAGCTGGTCTTTGGAAAGCGTGATCGGTGTCGGATTTATAATTAAACTAGGGTTTATTTCCACTGGAATGGATTTGAGCTGAAAGATCGAAATGCATTTCAAACAATTAATTAATAATTCATGGGAACTAATGGTAGAAAATAAGAAAATGAGAAAACAAAATTGGAGAAAATAGCTCAAAATGAAAGGAAATCAAGTGCATACCAGGAGTTTTGGTTGATGTTTGCTTCGTGAGAGTAAATGAATATCGATGTTGGCAGTGTCTGTACCCGAAACTTGTTCATCAAAGTAGCCCAGAAATTTGAACATTATGAAACTGTCGGATGGATCATGACTTTTGACCGGTTTCAATTGCTTCAGAAACGTTTCCCAGTCAAATTTGCTCGATTTTCGAGGATTGCGTCGTGCGAATTTCCGCTTTGATGAGCGGTCACTCAAGTAGCTGAGATTTCTTTGTAGAAACAGTGGCTACACACGAGAAAAAAAAACGTTAAAATTAAAAAAAAATTCCTGTAATTATCAAAACAAAAGATAATATTTTATGCGCTCTAGTACATAAACTAAAGCATATGAAAATTGTGTGAATAAATGATACACAATCTATTCGTCTGTGTCTTTTTGTTTTTGCATTCAATCGAAATTAGAAACATATATTTCAATATGAATGAGTGCATTCAACTCACCGACAAGAGACGTCGTGTTCGCAGATATCGGTAAATTTGCGTCGGCTCTGCAAAAGGTGCGGAGAAAAAAACATATTTAACCAATTAGAAACCGAGTACAAAATGAAGCAATTGTTAGCAAATTAGCAGCCGCAGCAAAAACAACAACAATATAAAGACAACGACAACAACAACAACAACAACAACAATGAAGTTGAGTTAGAGCTAAAAAGCGTTGTTTAACAATGATGAAAAAAAAGACGTTGACATACTTTCAAATGCTCGCAAAAATAGTTCACAATCTTGCTTGTTTTGATGGCTGTCCTTCATCGTAACACCACGCGCTTTCTACACGAACAAAATTTTGGTTGATGAATTCGTGCGATGATGCAGCTGGAAGCCGTTAGTTGTGTGTTGTTGGTGTTACAACCAAACAAAACCATTCAATGGCAAAATTTCGTACACACAAAACAATTTGCACTCAACCAAACACAGAAAAAATGTTGCGCGTCAAGCCCAATGTTTAACATCTAAATGTTTCCTCTGCACAATTTTGCTGCGAGTGCATCGAAATTGGTTTGCGTTTTTTTTTTTCGAATGGCTGGTTTACTCCTATTGATGCATTTTATTTTGTTTTGCCCCCTGTTTTTTTTCTTCTGCTGCTGCTGCTTCGCTCAATATTCAATATTGAAACGAGAGAATGGCATGAAATTTCTTTGCACAAAACCCACAACGAATTGAACGGACGACGGCGGCGCTTCGTCAATACAATGAAATTTTTAGCTTTTGTTTGCTTCTCACTGACAATTCAAAGTATCAAACATTTGATGAAAAACCAGCGAAGAGAAAATAAGTCTTTCGCTCCGTTTGTTTGTTAAAATTTCTTCCACTTGTATTATTTTTTGTCGATTAAAAAATTAAAAATCATAAATTTTTTTTTTCGCGTAAAATGCAACATATAAATCTAATTTGGAATAATGTTATAGAAGAAATGTGATTTGAGAGTGACAATAAAAAAAGAGACGAAAGAAAAAAAACGCCGAAGCGATTGTACCCGCTCTTTTCGTTCGATTGAGAATTCGTAGTAAAGAGAAGCGCGCAGTGTGACGGTATTTGTGAGCGCGCCAATGCCGCATTGATGTGACAGCTTCAGTATCAGGCAGTAGGAAAAAAAGTCGTTCGTTCGTTCGTTCGTTTGTTTGTATGCAGCGTGAAACCATGGCAAGAGTGTAACCGTGCGAATGGGAGAGACAGAGGGCGAATGAGAGAGAATGAAAGAGAGAAAACAAACGAACTGTTATGTCAATGGTGTGTCAGTTTTTGAATAGCCGTCAGGATCGCTTTCTTCGAATGTGAACCACATTTTACGGAATGTTCAATTGAAAAATGCGATTTTTTTTTCTCGATGCATTGCAAGCAGAAGTGATACAAAGAAATGTAATTTTTAGTTAAATACGATTTTTTTTTGCATTGAATAAAATATTGAAATAAAAAAATTTAGTAAGAAAAAAAAAATTGTTGCCAACATCAGTGGTCGACTGGTGTGTATGAATAGACCTGACTGCTAAATTGTGGTCCGGCTTAAAATTGTTACGAGGCGCACATGTCAAAAGTTACACTGACACACAACACACTGGTTTCCACATACATGCATTTGTTGAATAGATTAACAAACAAAACCGAATCCAAATACACACATTGTGAATCGAAGTGAGAAGAACGAACAAACGAAAGAAGAAGAAAAACGTGAATTAAATCACTTGTCATTACAGTGAAGCATATTCTTCGTACAGCCCAAACAGGCAAATATTGTGATTTAACTTAAAAACGAGACTTAAATTTGTATGTGTAAATAAAAATATGTTAAAAAATTCACGCACGACGATACAAACATTAAATAGTGTTGTTTTCTAATATTGTGATCTGGACGAGAAAGAGAGAGAGAGAGAGAGAGAGAGAGAGAGAGAGAGAGAGAGAGAGA